GCCGACCACCACCATCAGCAGTCAGCTGCATACATTGAAGACCGAGGTCCAGAAGCTGCAGTCGACGAAAGCGGACGACAATCCGAAGATGTACAAGATGCCAACTTTCAACCTGGAGAGGTTTGACGACTACACGCAGCAGGATCCCGTCCTCTGGTGGGAAGCATTCACAACGCAACTCAGGATTCTGCCAGTAGCCAAGCATGCGTACATCGGCGCCCTGTTCCTGAACTCAAAGGGCGGATGCCAGACCTGGTTGAGCCACCTGGCAACCTCCCACGGCGTCGACGTACCAGACTTGAAGGACGTAATCACATGGGAGGAACTAACACGGCTGTGGAAGAAGCGGTTCATCGTCGACGATGCGCCGGCACTCGCCATCAACCGCTTGTTCACCATGTCACAGGGCAACACAGCAACACGGGACTGGCTCACGGAGTGGCAGAAGATTGCGGTTGTGCCCAATCTGAACCTACCATTCAAGCATCTACGCCGTGAGTTCTACAACAGGTCATGTGCAGCATTGAGCGAGGCTCTTGGTGATCGCGAGCAGTACTCAACCTTGACAAAGCGAGGGAGATCATCAAGACCAACAGGTCAGCTGCACACGAGAAATCAACATCATGGCAGCCGACCTATGTGGAGAAGGTACGAACTGGTCCGCGACAGCAGCACTTCGCTGCAGTCCAGCAGGATAGTGGAGATAACCCAGCAGCCACTTCAGTATCAAGTGACGGAGATCAGGTGGCCGCTGTCCAGCCGCGAAGCACCAATAAGTCCCGTAATAATGGCAAGGCGAAACCCGCATCGCAGGCCGGAAATGGACAGCCAAGACAGTTTCCATGGGTCAAGTTTGGCTTGACCGAGGCGGAGTACAAGATCCGCGGCCGCTACGGCAGCTGCTATTGGTGCAACAGCACCAAGCACAAGACCTCCCTGTGCCAAGATCAGGGCAAGGAGGATGTGCGACCCCGCCTCAGCTCGGGAAACTGAGCTCCGCGGAAGGTGAGGCGACTCCACCTTCTACTTCGCCAGATTCGGCCGCCTTGCTAGCGGGCTCCTGCACATCTGGGGAGGATGCGAATGTCGCAAGTCCTCGGTATACTTACGAGGATTATGCTGTCCACTTGGTTCCACCGCTGGACCAACCACTCCACGTGCAACAGTCCACCGCATGCACGATTTCATCACCATCGGCAACTGATTCGGCAGCTTCGCCGCAACCTATCGCCGGGTATTTGACGTCATGGTCAAGACTTGAAGAGCTCGACCCATTGACGTTCACGAACTTCCAGTGGATGCCCGTTCCCTCGATCGGACGATTGTCGAAACTGCATTCCAACACGCTTATGGCACAATTGCGGGACTACTTGCACACTGCAGTACCAACTCTGTTGATGGACGCCAGAGCAGAGGTTGTCGACCTTCACGCTTTCATCGCGAAGATTGACCGCGAGTTCAAGACGCAACGGTACGACGACATCGACACACCATTGCTATACATACGCATTCAGATCGGAGAGGCGACCTGCAGTGCCTTGATCGATTGCGGAGCATCTCGCAACTACATCAGCCAGGACTTCATGGTACGTGCCGGCCTTGGCCCACGTGTCTGGAGGAAGTCCCAGCCTACGCAAGTCACTCTGGCAGACGGTCATAATAAGTCCATCGACCGATGCATTGACGCCGTCCCAGTGTACTTTGCCCCCCACGCAAGTGAGGCGGTGTCCTTCGACATTCTGGACACCAAATTCGACATGATCTTGGGCATGTCATGGCTGCGAAGCAAGGATCACCCTGTGAACTTCTTCAACCGCACCGTTCACGTTCGTGACCGGAACGGAGTATTAGTTTCATGCATGGTGCCTTTTCCTCATCCTTCGATCAGCTGCCACGTGGTATCCGTTGAAAGCATGCGAGCTTCCATCATCAAAGACGACATCGAGGAGATGGGGGTGTATTTTCTCCACGCCCTCCCGCCACATGACGCTTCATCGACGGACTCACCTTCGGATCCACGCATCACCGAACTTCTCGACGCCTACAGCGACATGTTCGAAGGCCCGCATGGAGTAGTACCAGATCGACCCATCCGCCACGAGATTATCCTCGAGGACGAGGGCATACCTCCGCGCGGTTGCATCTACCGAATGAGCGAGGAAGAGTTAAGCGTGCTTCGGGCACAACTCGACGACCTTCTAGGGAAAGGCTGGATTCGGCCTAGCTCATCGCCATACGGTGCTCCTGTTCTCTTCATCCGGAAGAAAAAACAAGGATTTGCGGTTGTGCATCGAGTATCGCAAGCTCAACGCGCAGACAATCAGGAACGCCGGCCCTCTCCCACGCATCGACGACCTTCTCGAGCGATTGGGCGGCGCCCAGTAACCTTGTCATAGGTGCAGCAATCCTGGAGTATCCGGTGATGAATCGCTGATAGTAGCCCGCCAACCCCATGAAAAACGAACGTCCGTGGTGTTGGTGGGCTCGGGCCATACTTGTAGGGCCTCGATCTTGTCCGCAAGCGGACGGATGCCTTGTGGCGTCACATAGTGTCCCAAGTACTCCAGCTCCTGCTGTGCGAACTCGCACTTGTCGCGGTTTGCTTTGTACTTAGCCTGTCGTAGCACGCCGGTCATTCCAAGCACTTAAGACGGCTATGCTCATGGCACCCGTCCTTAGCATTTATGACCCCACCCTGTCGACACGAGTGACTACGGACSCTTCCGGCTATGGCATTGGGGCAGTCTTGGAACAGCACGACGGCGACGACTGGCACCCTGTGGAGTATTTCAGCCACAAAGTGCCTCCCATCAACTCGCTTGATGATGCAAGGAAGAAGGAGCTGCTCGCATTCGTGATGGCTCTCAAACGCTGGCGGCACTTCCTCCTTGGGCGTCGTAGGTTCACATGGATCACAGACAAMAAYYCAYTGACCTACTACAAGACGCAGGACACGGTGAGCAGCACGATTGGACGATGGATGTACTTCATCGACCAATTTGACTTCACACCAAAGCATGTCCCCGGCCTCTCCAATCTCGCAGCAGATGCAGTCTCGCGAAAACCTGATCTTTGCGCTATGACACATCATGCCTTCGCATTCGACGAGGAGCTTCAGCGACACTTCATTCGAGCAAATCAGTCTGATCCGGACTTCGGCACGCTCTATGCACAGCTATCTTCGGATCACCCGCCGGCCAGCCATTACCGCATTGTCGACGGGTACTTGCTCCTCCACTCGAGAGGCAAGGACTTACTATGTGTCCCATGCGACTGTCGTCTTTGGACTCGCCTCCTCGGCGAGTTCCATGATTCACGACTCGTCGGCCATTTCGGAGTCAACCGCACTATTGCACGACTTCGGCAGCGATTCCGATGGCCCGACCTCATTACCGATGTCACTCGGTATTGCGACTCTTGCGAAGTTTGCCGACGTAGCAAGCCCCGCAACCGCAATCCCTACGGCGAGATTCAACCGATGCCTATCCCATGGGAACCCGGTCTCTCCATTGCCATGCATGTCACCGGTCCGTTTCCTCACGCCCGGCTCGGGCACGACAGCATCCTCACGGTTGTGGACCAATTGAGTAAGTACGCGCGTTTTCTCCCTTGCAAGTACTACTCCACGGCTCCCGAGCTGGCACGCCTCCTGCACACTGGTTGGATTTGTGGCCACGGTGTGCCAGAAGACATTGTCAGCGACCGCGACACTCGTTTCATGTCGGCGTTTTGGACTGCTCTCATGCAGGAGTCCGGCACAACAATGAAACCAAGTT